ACATACGACTTGAGAGGCCATTCATGTTCAATTTCTGATTAGGAAACTCATATTTCAGATTATTCCGATAGCATGTGAAGCTTGTTCTAATGCTACAGTCAGGTCTGGGGGCATTGGTTTTGTGACGAGTGCTTTGTGGTGCAGCATGCAGTGGGTAATCTGCACATCTAGGTTTTGGTTCTTCACCATAGATACCAGTCCTTTTACTTTTCCAGTCATAGATGCCACTCCATCTGTGAAAATACTATGACACATGCCCCAGTTGAGACAACGCTCTTTCAATTAAGTATCGATGACAATATACATCTGCGTATGCACACTGGCCAGGAGATGACAGTGTCCTCTGCAATCTGTATAATCATCAATTTGAAGTGCAAATTTGCCATTTTGTTTAGTTTTTAACAGTTATGGGGTGGGTGCAATATCATCAGCACAGCACCAAATAAACATTAATTGTCCGAACAATGAAAGATAGAGAAAGTGTTCAGGAAAACAAACACCTGCTACATACAAATGCAGAAATATACCTTTGACAATAGCATCATGAATTCACTGCATGACTGGAGCTAGGGGATGGCTGTGCATGAATATGTCTTTTACTAAAACTACTGATGAGAACTGATGCTTTTTATGATAAAAATAATATATAATGCTGTATAATTAAATGTTAAATGCATCCATTATTAAAAGCAAGTCATTAATAGCAAGCTATATTCATATGAATTCTTTTAAACATGAATACATGCTAACAGGAATGTTATCAGTAGTGTAATTGATCTGGTTCTGACAAATTAATCAAATTTCCTAATCAAGTCCAATCAGTATAATCAAACACAGCTTGACTCAAATGAAGGTGTAGAACCATCTGAAGGATGATCAGAAGAAATGGACAGCACGTGAGTTAAATATATGAGTGTCACAGCAAAGTGTCTGAATACTTAGGACCATGTGATATTTCCGTTTTTCTTTTTTAATAAATCTGCAAAGATGTCAACAATTCTGTGTTTTTCTGTCAATATGGGGTGCTGTGTGTACATTAATGAGGAAAAAAAATTAACTTAAATGATTTTAGCAAATGGCTGCAATATAACAAAGAGTGAAAAATTTAAGGGGATCTGAATACTTTCCGTACCCACTGTATATCACGTGACACATAACTAGCAATTCCACTCATGGAAACAGATCAATTATGAGGTGCAGAGAGATATCATGTATAGTTGGAACATGAACTGATGGGGCCTATTTGAAGTAATTTATTAAGAAGCCAATGGACAATAATAAACTTTCTGACTGTGTGGGGCATCTGACTGCTTTCCAAGAAGAGCGCAACTGATTTACCAATATTGTGATAGTGTCAAATGAGACTGTACAATGGCTGAGGCAATGACTAAAGACAGCAGTAGAGTAAACGTTGCAGGATTGTCTACAAGTACACTTGTACAATATCATACAAGTGTTAAAGTGAATTACTGAATTATTAAGACTTTGATGTGAGACTGTGTTTAGGGTTCTTACTAATGGGGCATTTTTAAGACTTTTACCCTGTCCAAATACTCACATTTGTGGTCTTGGCCACTTGAGAGCGCGTGTACGTGACAGTGCATGCACAAGACTGTCCCAGGCCTTAATAATGCCAAAGCGCAGTGCCCTTAACGCACACTATCTCGAGAGGTCACGGAAACATTTCCAATGTAAGTAAAATATTAATAATAATAATTAGATATTACAAATAATTTGGTAGTAAAACAAAGTGTTGCATGTTTTATTGGTGCAAAGAAAAGTATATTTATTTTGTACATCATTTGCAACTGCTTTTTATCACCACAAATTAAATAGTCATCTGTTATAGGGACTACTGAACAGACATTTAGAAGTTTATTTTAAAATGCTGAAACTAAAATAAATCTCTGTAAACACTTGCATTTTTACAACACTATAAGTGTGTCCATTAAGGTAATGAAAAGTTCTACAAAAACTAACATAGACCTACCGCTGCAAATGTCTGCCTCCGCAGCTTTCTGTCTTCTCTGTTTCTGAAGGAATACCTCGCCGCAAACACGACTGGGCTGACTGCTTCCTTTACGTCTTTTCAGCTAAAAATAAAATAAAATAAAAGGGAGAGAAAATAAAATAGAATTATATAGAGAATGCTGCAAGATGGGAAAAATACCGATTTTTTTATTATTATTTTTTTAAATTTTACATTAAAAGGTATTACAAGCATGGTACAGTAAATGTTGTGATTACTGTGATATCTGTCATAAAAGCACATCAAAACTACCATTACAGTGGTACAACCATAGTACGTTTGGTGATTACTGTGCTATTACTATACATATCACAGTAAAACTACAGTTACTGTGGTAAAAACATGGTAAATGTCCTGTTAACTGGGTTTTAACTTCAAATTTCACAGTAAAACTAGTTACTATTGTAAGTGTCGTGGTTACCATGATTTTACTACAAATACAACTTACATCTTTGAACCTGATATGAATATAAAACTGATCCAAGTGTGGTATTCTCCTCTTCCGTTTCGCAGCACCTTGAGCGGTTGGAGGTTGTGTTGGGTCGCTTGGAGCATGAGGGCTTGAAGGCCAAATTGGCGAAGTGCACATTCTTTCAAAAGGAGGTGAAATATTTGGGACATGTGATCTCTGCTCAGGGTGTATCTACTGACCCCGGGAAGATTGAGGCAGTTTCGCATTGGCGGCGTCCCACCGGTGCATCTGAATTACACTCGTTCCTAGGGTTTGCCAGCTACTATCGCCGTTTCGTGCAGGGCTTTGCAAAGTTGGCAGCTCCCCTGCACCAGGTGGTGGCTGAGTGTGCTGATGTCAGGCCCCGGGTGCGAGCTGGTAAGAGCTTTCTTGATGCCTGGTCAGAACAGTGCCAACAGAGCTTTGAAGAATTGAAGGTTAGGCTTACGAAGGCTCCAGTGTTGGCATACGCTGACTTCTCCTTGCCCTTTATTTTAGAGGTAGACGCCAGTTATGGTGGCTTGGGGGCAGTCCTCTCCCAGGCGCAGGGTGGGAGAGTACGACCCATTGCGTATGCCAGCCGCAGTCTTAGGCCCACTGAGCGCCACATGGTTAACTACAGCTCCATGAAGTTGGATTTCTTGGCGCTCAAGTGGGCCATGACTGAAAAGTTCCATGAATATCTTTTGGGGCACAAATGTATTGTCTGTACTGACAATAACCTTCTTAGCCATTTGTTAACAGCTAAGCTTGCTGCTACTGAACAGCGCTGGGCTGCCCAGCTTGCAGCATTTGATTTCACTATTAAGTATCGGTCAGGTAGGAGTAATAGAAATGCGGATGCCCTTTCGAGGCAGGACCCCTCCGGCCAGTGCGAGGTGAGTGCGCTGTTGCCGGGAACTGACGTGCTGGCTACGGTTAAGCAGGTGATCGCGGCGGAATTGCGTCCACAGGCAACTCAGGCAGTGGTTTCTGTGTTGCCTGGTTTTGAGGGTGACATGGCCATATGTCAACAGGCTGACCCGGTAATTGGTCAGATTGGTAACACTTTATTTCGATAGTCCACTTTAGACATTCTATTAACAGTAAGTAACTTTGGAACTACATGTCAACTAGCAGTAATTAGAGTATTAGTAGACTGTCTGCTTAATATCTTCTAACACTTTCTTTGTCAACATTCTACTAACCCTAAACCTACCCTAACAGTCTACTCTGATAGTTAGTAGACATGTAGTTGCAAATTAATGAGAATTTGTTGACATGTAGTTGACATGTAGTTACAAAGTTACTTATAGTTTTAATAGAATGTCTAAAGTGGACTATCGAAATAAAGTGTAACCGTCAGATTTTAGGGTTTTGGAGACAAAGAGTTTCCCCTTCCCCAGCAGAGCGTAGACAGCTGCCCAAGGCTGCCCTGGTGTTACGCCGTCAATGGGATCGGCTGGTGGATAGGGATGGGCCACCTATTGGCAGAAAGGCCAAATGAGATCTTGGCCATTGACTTCACCTTGCTGGAGCCCTCATGTTCAGGACTAGAGAACGTATTGGTAATGACTGATGTTTTTACCAAATTTACGCAGGCGGTCCCGACTCGGAATCAGCGGGCAGAAACTGTTGCTCAGGTGCTTGTTTCGGAGTGGTTTTGCAAGTTTGGTGTTTCTGCTCGCATCCACTCAGACCAAGGCCATAGTTTTGGGTCATCCCTTATCCAGCAGCTATGTAGCTTGTACCAGGTGGAGAAGTCTCGCACTACCCCATGGCACCCTGCAGGCAACGGGCAGTGTGAGCGTTTTAACCGGACGCTGCACAATCTTCTGCGTACGCTGCCCAGTTCGCAGAAGGAGGACTGGGTCTCTGCACTGCCTCAACTACTCTTCTGTTATAATACTACTCCCCATCAAGTGACTGGGGAGTCCCCCTACTTCCTGATGTTTGGATGGGAACCACGACTACCTGTAGATTTTCTGTTGGGTCGTGGTCAGGAGAGGGGCTCTGGTAGTATTAACAGTTGGGTGTTGGAGCATCAGACGAGACTGCAGGTGGCCTTTGAGGGGGCTCGGGAACAGCTGCATATAGCAGCGGAACACCGTAAGGAGAGGCATGACTTCCACGTACGGGATGCACCCCTGGGCGAAGGCCAGTTAGTTTACCTTCGTAACTATGGCCTAAAGGGTCGTCACAAGATTCAGGACCACTGGAGCTCGGTGGTGTACCAGGTAGTAAAGGCGCCCCCGGAACAGGAGGTTCCATTTACACCATCGCACCGGTTAACGAGGTGAATAGGGTGAGGCACTTCCATGGAGGAAGTGGACTTGTTTAGGGTGGTACCGGGGATTGGGCCTGTTGCCATTGGGTTGGGGAGTCAGGGCCTGGTGTCACCGGAGCCTGTGGTGGAGGCTGAGGGCGAGGCACCTGTGGTTCCTGGGCCATCCGGGCATGGCCCGCAAGTCAACTATCCTCGGCTCCTTCCTCATTGGCGTGTGGTTGTCATCCACAATAGCCTATTAGAACCTGTCTTTCCGGGTATTTAAGGCTGGAGTTATGCCACCTGGTGTACGTCACTGCTGGGACCGCACCTATGGAGTGCGCGTGTATAGATGCGCGTGGAATGGCCATTTGATGCGTTGTGTTGGGTTGCAGGCTGTCCACTACATGTCAGGTATGTGTCTGCTCGTATTACGTGCTGCTCGTTTAGCATCGGGTGATGTTAACCGGTGCTTATTTACTACTTAGCTGTGAAATTCTTCGGTGAAGGTGTCTTCCTGCATGAGCTTCTATGCTTGTTATGAGTTGAGAGCAACGGTACAATTCGTGCGGCACAACGATCCGTTTCGGTAGGGGCGATCCGTTTTCTCTTGTTCACAAGAAAAGTGATATTTTAGTAATCGCCCCTTTCTTTTAGTGGACTGAGGTTTTTCTCTGACACTGCGCTGGTTAGTCGCGGGAGAAGGCGGAAGTGTCTACACTCAGCGTTAAAGGAGGACGGCGCTGCTGTTTTCTTTTGTTATTTTCTCGTCTTTTGTGCTTCTTTCCTTTGTTTCTTTTCTTTCTTTTTGTTTAATTTAAAATAACATTGTTATTTTCCTGCTCTATATATTTTGTTTCCTGTTTGTTTGTTGTAAATATAACATTGTGATATTATTTCTTTATACATATTGTTTTCTTTTTGGTTTAAGTTGATGGATGTATTTTTATTGTGTTATGGAATGTAAAATTTTCTTTTGTGTTTGTTTTAGGCACTGTAGGGCCCGAGGCTGGGAGGCTAGCTGGTAGTGAGTACTGGTGATGGTACAATCGTGTGGAGTGCAGTATTGTTTGGATTCACGTTTTACTCTGTGTGAGTGGGTGTGACTGTGTGCGTGGGATGCACTAGCGTACAGATAGGATCTTCACTTCAGCTAGCCTGCCTTTGCTGCTGGAAAGCCTGTGCCTGTTTATTTGGTTGTTTTCCTTTGTGAGTATACTTAAATTGTTTCTTTATCTGGTGTAGTATACAGAGCTGCAGATATATGGTGTTTAATTGTGATCCGACACGTGACACTGATGCCCTTGAGTGTTTTCATAATTTGTTGTGACAATTTGAATAAAGCGTTTGTACATTGTTTACACGTCTCTTTGGGTTTTACTTAGCCTACGAACCTGTGTCCCTGATTTGGGTGGTTATTTCCCCGTTTCTTTATGGCGTGGCATAGTCGGTTGTCTTTTGGTTTAGGGGTGTTCTGACTTAGTCGTACATTAACTCTCCTCCCCCTCCCCTCTGCATTGCCACACAAGGTTCATGGCACGTCACGTGACAGATAGCGTTTAATCACCCTAGTTAGCAGGTGTGTTCATTTAGTTAAACGCAATGAAACTCAAAGACAGCCTCGGATGACCAATATAATACAGCGATTACACATACGGCGCTAATCTGATTAATAAAGAATTAAATTTTATAACACATTAAGACAGCATATTTACGACTTACACATCCAACCTGTGGCACACGTAAACTGATGGCAAATATCGCGATGTGTGCTGAATGGGACTTCTTGAACGTGATTTCATAGCGATAAACATCTTTTTTTTTTTTCTTTATTTGAACATTTACTTTACATTATGGAAAAAACAAACAAAAAAAAAACATAACAACAATTAAGAATAACATCAATAGAATAAATAAAAAACAACAACAACAATCAGTACCATAGTGCAAAGCAGACAAAGGGGAAAAAAGAAAAGGAAATAAGAGGGCATTACACAAATTAATACAAATTACACATTTAAATGCATTAGAGTTTGTAGGCTGTGCAAACTGTACATGTTTTGAGAGCTTTTTTTGTTTTATGAATATAAAATCTTCATAGAACGCGAATTAGGTTTATAATAAAGCAGGCATTTGAATCCGCTTCAAAGAAACCAAAAATAACACATTTAGGATTCATTGAAAAACCTTGTAAGATAGTACATAAAATAACTAACATCTTTCCAAAGCTGAAAAGTATAGTTGCACGACCAAAACAAATGAAGAAGAGTTTCAGTATCATTCTGACAAAAGGAGCATTTAGTGTCAAATTCTGATCCAATTTTTTTCTTAAGAAAATGTTTGACAGGGTAAATATTATGGAGTAGTTTAAAAGTTATTTATTTTATTTTGTTAGTGAGGAAAAGTCTTTGTTGCATGGACCATATATTTTTCCAATTTAAATTATCAAAAAGGTTGTTCCAATATGAGACTGCAGAAGGAGCAGAGACAATGTTCTCAAGGAATAAAGTTCTTATTTTATAATTTCTTCCTTTTTTACCAGTGAAACATATTTCACCAATAGGCGTGTTGATATGTTCAGGAAAGGGAACTGTTCCTATAGATAGAGTGTAATTTTTAAAAAGCATGCATATGCCAGATGGAATAGCATCCATAACAGTTGCAAAATCTTTAGGAGTTACAGATATATTATATTCTAAAATAAATTCTGTATACCTAAAAAGCAGACCATCCTTGTTAAAGAGCTGACTAACATGAAATATTCTGTTACTGAACCACTGATTATTGAACAAAGATTTATTCTTAAATAAAATATTCCTATTGTTCCATATGTAACACCGGTGGGGAGAAAAGTTATGTTTGTAAATAAGAGTCCATGCCAGAAGAACCTGTTGGTGAAAGTTAGATAGCTTGACAGGGAGTTTTGGGGTATCATAGTTAAACAAGAAGACATGTTGAAGGAAAATATTCCAAACAGAGGTGGGATTTTTCAGGAAACGATTAAGCCAATTTATTTTAATTGTATTATTCAATGAGTTAAAATCAATTAAGTTTAAACCACCATTAATGTGATAATTTAATATTACTGATTTTTTCAAATAATGGGGCTTGTTTTTCCATAAAAATTTTGATAAGATTCCATTGATTACTTTACATGTGGGGTTATTAACGTACAATGATTGAGCGGCATAAGTAAGGCGAGATAGGCCCTCTGCTTTAACAAGCAAACTTCTGCCTTTCAAAGAGAGGTATCTCTGTAGCCAGCAATTAAACCTTTTTTTTTGTTTTTGTAATAATTGGGTTAAAATTTTCAGAGCACCTAAGGTTATCTTTAGTTATCTGTATACCCAAATATGTAACACATTTTTAACTGCAACACCATTAATTGAAGAATTTGTACTATTTTTAACTGGAAGTAATTCATATTTATTAAGATTAAGATGTAAGCCTGAAGCTTTAGAGAAACGCTTAAGAATACCTAGAGCTGTTGGTATTTGACGAGAGTCTTCCAAGAGCAGAGCAGTATCATCCGCTAACTGAGTAATAATTATTTCTGTATTTCCAATACTGATGCCTTTTAGATGGCTTGTTTTGATATATAAACTTAGAAATTGTGTTGCAATCAAGAAAAGATAGGGAGAGACTGGACATCCCTGTCGAACACCTCGATTTAAGAAAAATCTGGGAGAGGTACTATTACTTAACTTAACTGAGCTATTACTGTTCACGAACAACATTTTGATCATATTACTAAAAGGGTCACCAAAGCCAATTCTATGCAGTGCTTGAAACAGAAATTCATGTTCTAGCGTATCAAACGCTTTATAATAATCTAAAAATAAAATAAAGCTTTTGAAGTAAATGTGAATAGTCTTACATATCTAATATTAATTGTATGTTGTTCGAAATATGTCTGTTAGGTAGAAATCCTGACTGTGTTTCATCAATTATTGAGTTTAACACACATTTTAGTCTTTTAGCCAGAACTGATGCTATTATTTTATAGTCATTATTTAGTAAGGAGATCGCCAATTGTGTATGAGAAGGGGATCTTTGTTTGGCTTTGGGATTAGGGTAATTATTCCCTGACATAAGGTGGGGGGAAGAAATGTTTTTTCTGTGCTTTCTTTAAAAACTTTGAATAAAAAAGGTGCTATTTTTTTTTTACCAAATAGCTTATAAAACTCTGAGGTGAGTCCATCATTTCCTGGAGATTTTCCATTTTTTAACATATTAATCGCATCAACAATTTCTTTCCAGGTAATAGGGCTGTCACAAAAGGCTTTATCTACCATATTCAACTGCTGTACATTCTGGAGAGACTCAAAAAAATCATTTACATATTGGTAGCAAAATTTGGATGTATATAACTCACTGTAAAATTTAGCACAAAATTTTCCAATAATTTTCTGATCTTCACTTAGTGTTCCATCAATTATGAGTTTTGTTATATTATTTTTTTTTGGCTTGCTCCCTTTCTAATCTAAAGAAATATGCGGAGCTTTGCTCACCTTCCTCAAGCCAATTTCTGTGCGACCGTATGTAGGCTCCTTCAGCTTTATCTTTATATATTTTATCTAATTGCTGTTGCTGTTTAGCAAGTTCAGCTTTTTCAGAATCGGTAATATCTTCCATATTTTTAGCTAAAAGATTGGCAATTTGAGAAATAACTTCATTCTCATAGGATTTCCTCTTTTTAAGTAAGTCACCACTAAATTTGCGAAGACATTTACAAACTTCATATTTAGTTAGCTCCCAATTACTGCAAAAATTATTTTCTTCTTTTGCTTTATTCCAAATTAATTTAATTTAAATTTAATTTATTACAAAAGGTAGTAATGATGTCATCAATTTTGTTTCTTACTTCATCATAAGAAAGGATTGAATTATTAAGCTTCCAATAAGAGGGAGTTCTATACGAGTTAACATTATTTGAAAGAGGGATTCGAATAGTAATAAATTTATGATCAGATAAAGGTGAAGGTATAATGTCAGATGAAGTATTATGCAGCTCCTTTGAAGTAAGCCATAGGTCAATGCGAGATTGGCACGAGAGAGAGTTATTACTCCATGTAAATACTTTTAAAGATGGGTGAGTTTCTCTCCAGCTATCAACCAAAGAAATTATTTCCATGAATATCTTTAAGTAGTTAGAGTTAGAATTATTAGATTTTGGGGGCCATCTATCAATATTATTGTCCATAACCACATTAAAATCGCCCCCAAAAACCAAGTAAGAGTTGGGGTAGTTATTTAACAGTGAAAGTATACATTCTTCCATTCAATAATTTTTTTTTTTCATTTTCTTTTTGTTGATTAAATCCGTAAAGATTGGTAACAATAAACTTCTTATCTGAAATTTACAGGAGCTCAGTATCGGTGCATCCCTCGTTCCCTTTCATGGGAACTTCGAACTGCGTCCTTTAGGGGTCGCTATGGGGAACGGTATACCCACGCCACCATGCTGAGGGGAGTGCATGCCAGAACCATGGCGAGCACTAAGTATCAACTCTACCATAGCCATGGGAGTTGCCACTGGGACGTTAGACGACTGTCAGTGACATTATTCCCTACGGACAAAGGCCTAGGCTACATACCCCAAAAACTTACCTGTTAGGGCCAGAACTCCTGGGCCCGGGGTAGAGCTCAAGGCTTGGAATCATGAATAGATTCCTTTAAGGGAATACGACCAAGAGCCTAGAATCATACTAAGTCTTGGCCTGTCACACAGGGGCTAACGCACGCTCTGCATATGCTAAAGGAACTGTCTCAACAGACCCCTAGTAGCAACACCCTGTTAAAGTAGGTATCCAGAGAATACATAGGTGGAGTGGTGCCCAAGGCGGAACCGGGGTTTTAAACCACTCAAGAAAGAGCACGAGGCTGCCACGCGTAGCTCGTACCATACAGGATTTTAGAAAATAACACAGAGTACTAGCGTGCGAACTTACCACAGTGTGGATTTTAGAAAGTGTACAAAGACTTACGTGCACACTTACCATAACATGGATTTAAAAATACCGTTCTAAGGGACTCTCGTTGCACTCTGAA